TTTAGGTTTAGGTTTAGGTTTGAGGGGGTTAGGATAAGGTTTTCGCTTTATTTTTACATTTTTCGATCACAGCGCGATGTTTTCATCGCGCTGTGATGACGTCAAATGCGCGCTTTCGTCGAGCGCGATTTTGTCCTCCGCGGTTTTGTGGTGGAACCGATCCTAAGTCCACAAGGAAGCCAGAGGCCCATAACTTCCTTCAACCCTTGAGCTTCTGGTTTCTTTTTTCAATTACCCAAGTAATCATTATTTCTGAAGGACCATGGGACGCAACAAAGCATCTCAAAATGGACATTCGGACAGGGCTTTGATAAGGTAGATTTATTGCATAAAAACCCAACTGCTTATATAAAATCAACTAAGGCACAAACCTCTTTGAGATACAAGTGAGAACATACTTTCAGAAGGAAAAAATACTTGGAGATAACAGGTGACGATTTTGAATTATTTCTATCTGGAATATTATTCCCAGATAAACTTTGGTGACAATGAGAAAATAATAACCTGAAAAGTAACATCTGGAGCTAAGCTAGTAAGGGCTTAGAGATATGAGAGACCTCTATTAAGTAAGTACCACAAGTAAGTCCTTGTAGCTGAAAAAGAAAGAAAAAACTATGAACTAAGTATAATTTGGGCCAAACTAATTCATAATGATAAAAATATCTTAGGGTGATGGATTGGAGAAGGTTGATCCTTCTTAAAGAGTATTCAAAGTGCTAGTTGATGGCCAAATAGATGTTCTTAGAAAAAGTCCATTAGTCTCTACTTTTAATTACTCTAATTTTAATTTTAATTACTCTAGAAAAAATGCAGAGGAAAGCAACTAGGATGATTAGGGGACTGGAACTGGGCATGGCTAGTGAAGAGAAGGAGGAGGGAGACATGAGAGCAGTCTTCCCATATTTGAGGGGCTGCCACAGAGAGGAGGGGGCTTAAGCTATTTTCCAAAGCACCTGAAGTCCAGACAAGGAATAATGAAAGGAAACTGACCAAGGAGAGAATTAACCTGGAAATAAGGAGGAACTTTCTGACAATGAGAACGATTCAATCAATGGAACAGAAGTTGCCTTCAGAAGTTGTAGGAGCTTCATCACTTGAGACTTTCAAGAAGAGATTGTCAGAAATGGTGTAGGGTCTCTTGCTTGAGTGGGGGTTGGACTAGATGATCTATAAGGTCCCTTCCAACTCTGTTAATCATCTTGTAAAGTATCTTCTAGACCTCATAATGCAACTAGGTTGACCCTGTGATTGCTCCAGACTTGTCATAACTCAGGCAACTCAACCTTTCTACAGCATTCATGAAAACACACTGCCACTTCCTGCCTAAGGACCTTCTTCTCGACATGCTAATTTTGCAGATGCAAGGATGTTCATTCTCAATGATTAACAGTTTATCTTGTTAGGTCCTATCCAGAACCGTATTATCTTTTTCCTGGGACACTTCCTACACTGCACACGAGAAGGAACAGAGTTGAGGATCGTGGAACAAAACCTTCTCTGTGACTTGAGCCCAACTTTCTAAAAGTATTGAAATGATGTCAATTTTTTTTTTGAGGAAGTCAACAAAAGTTAGCAGCCTGCAGGAGTTAGATGGTTTATTGGGGCTTACACACCAATAAATTCAAGAGCCCAGATCCTTCTGCAGGTATCCATTGCATGGTTGTATAGAGCAGTGTTTCTCAACCTTGGCCACTTGAAGATGTCTGGACTTCAACTCCCAGAATTCCCCAGCCAGCGAATGCTGGCTNCACCTTCACAGAATTAAGTTTATTACAGGATTGGGATTATTTAATCCTAATCTATAGGATTAAGGATATAATGAGAATTCTTTGCATAAGGATTTATTTTATATGCTGTCCTTCCAGAAAAGTCCACCCACTTGCTGAATGTGTTTCAAAGCCCTTAATGGCCTAAATCAAAAGTTAATGGGCAACATAGAAAAGAGCCGAATCATAGAATAAAGTCTTAATTATGTGGACAGCTAATTTCTACGTTGCCCTTGACGGGAAGAATTAAGACAGACTTAAGAGGATGGAGAAGAGACACAATCTCAAGGTAGAAATTCAAATGAACTATGGCCCCTTGCCTGATTTCTTCTGGTTTGAAAATTACCTGAGACCATTGAAGAGCCCCAGAGGTGCACATAGGTAATTCAACCACATCTTCTTCACCACTTAGGAGAAACATAATGCTTTCCATTTAGAGATGGATGAAGACTCTTTGTACGTGACTGAGATAACTTTAAGAAGCTCCCTCAACATCTTCTCCTCTCCATCTTCTGGAATATTTGGAACCAGAACTGAACTGGTTTTCACTACTAAGGATTAGGCTAACTAAGCTTGTATCTTATGGTTCTGATGAGCCATTGAAAATGAAAGTGGTCCTTCAATTATGACCCAAACTGAGCCCAACATTTCTGCTGCTAAGGGAGACATTTGTTAAGTGAAGTTTGTCCCGTTCTCATGTTCTTTCTTGCCATCGTTCTTAAGGGAAGGACTGCCGTTGTTAAGCTAGTGACATTGTTGTTAAGTGAATTTTGCTTCCCTATTGACGTGGCTTGCCAGAAGGTTGGAAAAGGAGATTGCATGATTTTGGGACATTGCTACCGTCATAAATGTGAACCAGTTGCCAAGCATTTGGATCACACAGCAAGGAAGATATTGAAAATGGTCATAAGTGTGAAAAATGGTCATAAGTCACTCCGAACGGTCACAAAATGAAGTGTTGTTAAGTCAAGGACTGCCTGTGCACTGATCTAGCAGAATCCAACGTCTATTCTAAATGCCATTTGATTAAAAAAACACAACAACAGCAAGGATGAAATATACCCATCTTTATTAAACTGCTAAAGGTTGAAACTAAGAGGGCGAAGGGAGGGGGATAGATTTCAAGGGGTTTAAGGCATGGGAGATTACAGACTGTAACTAGATGATACAGAAATAGAGGTTATTGACCAAACTAGAATTAGGAAAGGGGAAAAGAGATAATACTGGAGGAAGGTCAGAGGAATTCATGATGGAATTAACAACTTCCATTTTTCCGCACTGTCTTCTTAAGGACCTGCCCTCCATGGGTCACTTCACAGGTGAACGTGTCGTGGTTTTGATAATCAGAGGCGCTCAAGGTCAGGTAACTGCTGGCCAGGTATTTGTCACCCTGCTTGGTAGCTTTGGTGGTCTCCACGCCGGATGTGATCTCATCATTACCATCCTTCCATTTCAGGGTGAAGGCAGGTGGGTAAAAGCCACTGAGGAGGCACACCACGGTGCCCTTATTCAGGGTTTTGATCTCTTCCTCAGGTGAAGTGTAGGCATTCACTGTAGGTGGTACGGTGGGTTGACCTGCAAGAAGGGAAATCGTTTTAAGCTTTGAGGTATAAGAGCAAAGACTGGCCAAGTTCGTAGGCTCCTTATAATCTGATCCTAAGCGTGACCCATCAAAACTACGGAGGACAAAATCGCACTCGACGAAAGTGCGCATTTGACGTCATCACAACGCGACGAAAAAAATTAAAAATTGAAATAAAANATTCCTTTTACATTGAATTATACAGAAGAGTCACAAAATAGCTTCTAGTGATGTAGCCAGTTGCAGAAGACTGAGAGATGTTTTTTGTAGGCAGATTATTGTCTAAATTGAAGGGGTTTCTTATAAATTAAACCTAAGGCATTGGATCATTCTTTGGGTGTAAGGACCTCCCTGATTATCTGTAAGGCAACTCTTCCAGAAACATGTTTTAATTAATCATATAATGAGCACGTTGGCTGTCCATGGAGGGTTACACCTGGGTTTTTGTTAACTAGAATTCAGGGGACACAATTTCCACCAAAAGGAGAATTTTCTACTTGAATTCATGGAAAAGTTTGCATTCCTTCTGTGGGCAATTCCTTTTTGAGGTTAGTTCTACCAATGCTGAAATGTCAGTTCCAAAGTTGTGCATGGAACAAGCTATTGGGAATAAATTTATATCTGATTAAAAGTAATTTATTTTATTTTTTTTTGAAAACATATATATATAGCCATCCATGTTGTGGCTCCCAATTGATGTATCTAGTCCACCTGAGTTCCATCTGTTTCAAGACAAACTGGTTTTGGTTATCCATCCAAAATCCAACATCCGTAGATTCGTGGATGGTCTTCCACAATAGAGCTTATGTGAATTGGCACGGAAACCCCAAAGAGTCATGGAATTCATGGAATTCCAAAGGTGCTTTTTCAAGAGGCAACTGGACTTTCTGGTTTTTCTCTGAAGACGTTTCTCTTAGAGGTGAAGAAGCTTCTTGGGTGAGAAGCGAAACGTCTTCAAAGAAAAATCAGAAAGTTCAGTTGCCTCTTGGAAAAGCACCTTTGGGGCAACCTTGACCTGGATGATGGAGAATCTCCATAGAAAAGTTCATGGAATGATAACAAGGGGTGTCAGAGAGTCCCTCAACAATAATTATTGACCAGCGTAGTGGACACAGGTAGTATTGGCCACCATGTTGTTGCGATGCTAACTGGAGAAGCTGGAAATTCTCCATCAGCTTTGTCTAGTAAATCTAGTAGAATAGTTGAAATCATGGAAATTCTTTGGACAAAGCCAAAGAAAAGCTTGATGACCCTTGATACATTTCATAATTGGATTGAGGAGAGGTCATCGTATGAAATGCTGCCCTTGAGATCCTTGTGGTCTATTCCTTGGGCATAAACCAGTCCTCCTACCCACCTAGACAAAAAGTCACTTGTGAAATCTTTTCCTGAAACTTTGTTATGAAGAGAGATAGTTGTATATTAGGGAGGCTGTCTCATTGTCTTCTTGGCATTAAAAGCCAACGGTAGCCTGTTTTGGAGACACCTACAGCTTGTCTTTATAGACTTTGTAGTTCCTAGTCCTCTGAAGAAAGAATTCATATCAATGTTTT